ATAAATTATATATCTTACACACTTACCGATATTTTCGGTAAAAATTCAACTATAGGCACTGCGGTCCACATATTCAGTGCAGATGCCCCTCCCTAATGTGATCCTGTATACCAAATAACAGTCTTGTATCTTACAGTGGTCCGATTACGCCCATCTACAATACCAACCGTCTTACGGTACCAAGAAACATGTGTACCAAGTTTTATAAAAATATCTTAATTTTTCCTCAAGTTACAGCTTGCACAGACGGACGGACGGACAAACAGTCGCCCGGATTTCAACTCGTTACTTCAATCTTTTATGTATATAATACCCGACATCTAACTTGAGTAGTTTTAGGTGATACAAAAACCCATTATTTGAGCAAAACCATTATACTCTGTAGCAACATGTTGCAGGAGTATAATAAACACATTTTTCTGCAGCTTCATGCAAATTGGATTGAAGATTTTCAAAATTTAAATGTAGAAAATAGTTTTTAGGGAACTGCAGTTTATAGAAATGTTTGCAAACTGTAAACAGCGTCTAACCGATTAGTACTGAGGTGCAGAGATACAGTAGACCCCCGCTTATTGGAACTTAAAAAGTGACAACATGTTTAATTCCATTAGCTGATACTCTTTCAATTTTATAAACAGTTAATTTCATACCAGATGGTACTTGAAATAGTTGAGGCACCATCTTTATAGCTACTTTACATAATATTGACAAGCAAGTTTAGCCATGACCGTCTGTCTGTCTGTATACTAGCGAAGTAGTTCTTCAGTTTTTGAGATATCGAGCTGAAACTTTACACACGCTCTTTCCTCCCCAAGAATCTGCTCGTTTCTCGAAACCGGCAATATCGGACTACTATAGCATAAAGCTGTCATACAAACTGAATGATCCAAATCTAGTTCTTGTATGGAAAACTTTTTTATTTGACAGAATATCCCCACGAAATTTTTTATTGACAATAATTTGGGGCAAATTTACAATAACCGAAGAAATTGTTCACATCGGACCCTATAAATATAATATAATATATAGCTGCCATACAAACCGACCGAGAAAAATCTAGTTCTTGTATGGAAACTTTTGTGTTTGCGAAGGGCTTTGGTGCAACCGAAGTTAAGGTTTTTCTTCATTGACACATCAAGCATCCCGATCTTTAGCGGGCGTATTAGGTATCGGAGTCCCACTGTACTTAGAATGAATCCATCCATTACAGCCATCAATAACTCAACACAATGCAACTAAGAGTGAAAATAATTAATTATTGAAGAGACGGAAATTCGTTTGCAACCAGCCGCATGCCAACACACCTGGACCAAAGGCAGAATTACACTGCGCTTCCCGGGGCAAATGAATTTGAATTTGTAAATGCATGTGTGCGTGTGTGTGTGTGTGCTTTGTGGTTATCGGTTTGCCGAATTTCTGTCTAACGGTTGTCTATTGAAATTTTTCGCCTGTTAATGTTGCAACAAATGTGTTAGCACCGTTAACAATGCAACAACGCCGGCTACGGCCCAACAACAATCCGTGTAACGCATGCATTTTTCATGCTAAATTGCAATTGTTTGCCAGCGCAAATGGCCATTGTGCATTCGAAATGCAATACGATTGATTTTTAATAGCGATTTTCCGTAGGCTGGCCACACCAACCCAGCGCCAGCGCATGCCCCAAGCGAGCAGGAGCAGGTAATGGTTGTGTGTGCGAAGCTGTTGCGCTGCGCGGAGAAGTATTAAGGGGCAATAAGCCGCAGTGTTTGTTGAAAAACTCGCATATCCGTGCAGTATTTTAGCAACCTTAATGCCCTAACTTAATTTTTTTTTATGCCAACACACACACACATGCATACACTCAAACAAGCGTTGCATTACAACTTGGCATTGCTGCAAGCTTTATTCAGCTGCTATTGTTGTTGTTGTAACATATCAAATATCACAGTGTTAATTGCAAAGCTATGCATTGAACACACATACGTGCACACGCATATTTACTTAAATCCCGTTATGCATTATTAATGCAAATTAAGCGCAATTTCCATGTTCAGTTTGTGGTTGCAACGCCAAAGAGATTTTCCGCGATTTTTCTCACAGATTTTCAATGCATACAATTTTGGCAATTTTTTTCGTGGATTTTTGCTTTTTTTTTTTTTTTTTTTTTTTTTGTAAAGCAAGTAATTGAATTTATAATTTTTTGATACCCTGAAAAGGGTATATTATGTTTGCCACGAAGTTTCTAACACACAGAAGAAACCGTCGGAGACCCAATGAAATTAAAATAAAAGTTGAGATATCGATCTGAAATTTTGCACACATCGTTTTCTTACCAAAAAGCTGCTCATTTGTCGGAAACGCAAATATCGAACCACTACAGCATATAGGTTTCATTCAAACGAATCGATCAAAATCTAGCGCTTGTATGGATAACTTTTTTATTTGATGAGATATCTTCACGAAATTTGGCACCAATTATTGCTCAAGGTAGAACCAAAATCTCTGAATGAATTGTTCAGTTCGGATCACTATAGCATATAGCTGCCATACAAAGTAACTGCTCAAAATCATGTCCTTGCATGAAAAACATTTCATTTGACAACATATCTTTGCGAAATTTGGCGAAGATAATTGTCCAAGGCAGCGCTATAATCTCTGAATAAATTGTTCAGATCAGAGCACTATAACATATAGCTGTCATACAAATTGAGCAATCAAAATCAGGATAATGAACTTGTTATACCCTTTTATGCTATAAGAAATGCACATGTGAAGGGTGTTATAGTTTCGGTGCATGCCGATTTTTATTCCTTTTTTGAATTAACACGCTTCTTTGTTGGCACTTGTTAGAAAATGCAGACGCATGTAAAAGCGAAAGCGTGTAAAGGAAAGCATAATGGGTTTTTAATATTATAATTGCTTGCATACATATGTATGTATGTATGTATTAATATATATGTATCATTTAAATTATGCATTTGCATGACAGTGTTGTTTTATTTTTTCACGCCACTGTATTATGCATGTGCTTTTCACACTAATGCCGCGGAAGTTAGAAAAAATCACATACCCCACATACATACATACATAAATCCAAACATACCTAGATACATTCAATTGAAAAAAAATAAGCACAATTATTTAACGGTATTTTTTAGCATTTCTGAAAATGTTAAATGCTATTTTTATTGACGAAAATTCCATTTGTGTTTGAGTGCGTCAGCTTAACGCATATTTTCATTAAGTAATGGATTATATTTCTAGTGCAAAAATTCGTTGGTCATTTGAAATAAAAATTAAATATATGCCAAGGTGCACAAATATTTTTATAAAGACCTTTTTTATGGAAATTGCTTGGAATAGCAAACACTAAAAAATAAATTTTGTTCAAAAATATAGTATTTTTTGAGAGGTGTTGTTGTGTTATTGGTAAACTGTTTGTGTGCGCATAAATATTTATTATTTTCAATCCATTACTTTAAATTAAAAATATAGGCGCTAATGTAAATACTTCCACACAATTTACGATTTTCATTCCAATAAGAAAAATAAAACTTTTTTAAATGAATTTAGATTTGTTAGTAATTTTGTAGCGGTGAGTGATACCCTGATATTTTGGGTCGAGCTTAGATGTTAACATCGACGTCATCTAACGATAGGATCAAAGAAAGGAGATAGAGACGACAGTAATAGCAGGTGGATGCTTTTAAAGGGTCTCGTTTCATGTGTCCAAACTGAAAAATTAGCGCTTCGCCTACCGTAGCGAGTACCTAAGCCCTGTCTTCGAAGTCAATTAGCGGTAAGACCAGGAAAACGTGCTATTACGACAGTGTCACACCATAGGGAAAGGGGTGTTAAGTGAGTGGGTTTGGTTCGGGGGCTCTTTGAATGCAGAAAACATACATGTTTAGAATATATGGGTCGATTCTCGATAAGTAGGAAGGTAGTAAGTAGTAAAGTTTTTCCCGCCCGAAATTACTGTAGTTCGTCGAAGTCTTGTGGGAACGTTTACTTGATGTTCCTAGAAGAATTTCTAGGAAACATTGCTGCAGAAACTGCTTGGACAAAAATACATACGGGCCTCACTTTGTAGGTGTTTGATAGGAATCATCATCTGTGATGTCCATATCATCTTCAGCTGCGCCCTGCCATATCCAGGCGACCATGTTTGCGTTGGTCTGCCGCAGGTGCTAGCCACTTGAAAATTCTATTGCTTTTCTGTACTTTAGTAATATTTGCGATCGTATTTGGAGTGAAGAAGTACAGACTATCAAACGTAACACCCAGAACTTCGGAGTTGTTAATTGTCGTAGTTTAAGCGTCATCGACAAAAATGTTGAAATTTAGACTATATTTTTTCGTCCTATTAGTAAATATGGAAGAAGAGAGTTTTGAGTAACTTGCAGTTATAAACCGAGAAAGGTATTGTACATGCAATCGATGCCAGTACAATCATCGGCGTATGAGGTAATGGAAATTCACCTTTGGTGGTTGAGGAAGTTTAAGAAGATAGCAGTTGAACACTAGTAGGGAGAGCACACCACCCTGCAAAACTGCCTGCATAATTTTTGTTAGCCAAGAATGTTTACCACGAAATAGTACGGATGATTGAGGACGATAGAACTGAATGAAAAAAGTTCCAGATAAAAAAAAAAACATTATTTGTTTATAATAAGTACGAAAAAAAGTCAACGTATATCTCATTAGAAAGCTGAGAAAAAATCTTAAAAAATAGGCTGACTAGTTATTTTTTTTTTATTATGAAATACTTTTCTTCGTATACGCAAATGCCAAAAACTACCTTTTTTTAAAATTTGGAATTTTGAAAATCATAACTCAAAAATTTTTCATATTGAGTCCAGATGACCCATATATATTTTTAAGTTTTATCTCAAACAATTAAACACCAACACCTAAATTTAATTTGTCCCGCCTAAAACGTTTTTAATTAAAATTAGAAAAACACCGCACTATTTAATTTAAACTTCTGTGTATGTGTGACTACCACTAACACTTACCAAATGCCTTGCTTAGTCCATGTTTGGCCATCAAACTCTTATTGCGCGAATTTTCAATTAGACTGATGCAATTTTGCGCAGAGCAGCGACGTTTCACCGCGCACTCGACGCCAATATTTGCCATGAAAGCCTACAAAACAAACAAAAAACAACAATTAAAATCAAACAGTAAAATGCTGGAAAAAAAATAGCAAAGCTGTGGAAAAAAAATATGAAGAGTCAAATGCAATTATGGAAGATGCGCTTCATGTGTAAAAAGTGAAAATATGTCGCCAACACAGCCGCGCTCACCTATAGTAACTAAGGGGAAATATACATAGTGAGACTTATTTTTTTTTTTTCTAATTGTTTGCGTTCTATGCTGCTGTCTGAAGTGCTACCGTTTGATCTACGTGAAAGACAGCAGAGGAAAGAGTATATATTTTATGAAAATAACTTTGCAAGCCATCGGCAGCTCACAGCAGAGCAGTTTTTTTTTTATTATTATCGTGGAGATGGTGTTTAGCTATTAACGCGCCACTGCTCAAGACATTTGAGTTAACGTAACTTTATTTTCAAAAAGTCTACGTAACGGGAGCGAACCCGAATTTCTAACGAGCAATAAATTGTCATCTCGACAGCATTCAGCTTTTTTAAGTATCTCACATTTGGAAAGTTGGTCAACTTTAACATGTGACGCGAGTAGCAGTTAATACAAATCAAAGTTTAGAGACATTTTACTACCGATCATTTGAATTTTAGTCAAGCATACCTCAAACAGCTTACAGGATTCACTGTCCGTCAATCCCATTTGCAAATATTTTCCAAAATTTTTCACAAATTCACATAGCGTTTCGCAAAGCTGTGTCTCCTTACGTTGCGCTATAGTTTGTAGACAAGGCAATAAACGTACAGCATACCACTTAATATTGCGTTCTCTTATTTGCGGCGCATAGTAGGCAAATAGGTTCAAACAGATGCGCAACGAGCTGAAACGTAAGCAAGCACAAATATTATTTAGTTTTATGATGATAAGAAATGCACAAACCGCTGGTTCCCATTGCGCTTTATTTCACCATATAAGTCCATAAGTATGCGACTGACACGTGTTTTTTCCAGCGCACGAAATATACGATTCAGATTCTCCTCCGCATTCATGCGCACCACAGGATCCAGATCCTCACAAAAAAGCAACAGCACGGTGGTCGCCGTATTGATGTGGGTGGCATAGTTTATATGGCCCGCTAGCCCTGGCGACATAATGCACTCGGCAATATGCTGGAAGTACGTAATCTTCTCTTTTTGACTACAATAATGTTAAATTGGTCAAATTGGTGGCAAAGGCATATTATTGCATGAAACTCACCTGCATTCCGTATTGCGTAGCTGCTCAACAAAGGAAGTGAACTGATTCAAAATAGATTTGTCCATATTAATATTTTGTTATTAATACGAACAAAAGCTGATAGTTTAAGTGTTTAGTATCTAGTTAGGCATTTCTCCCCGTTTTAGGTAAATAATTTTACAAATTTACACAAAATTACACAGAAATATTTAGTGAGTAATCTGATAATTGTTGCACACCTTTCGTATTTTTAAACAATTTTCGCTTTGATCCGGTGGTTCGTAGTAGTGAAGCCAGATCAAGAGAATTTGAAGGTGTCTATTTGAAGCCGTAAAATATTGTAATAAAAAAATTATGAAAATATTAGTTCTGCTAAATATCAAGTAAATATGATTTTTAGTTATAGCTTTTAGTCCAATAAACAATATAGTTAAGTGATATTAACATGCATTTGACAGACAAAATGAAATTGGTACTCGTTGTAAGCAAATTTGCGAATATTTTGAGGAATTTTCGTGTTGCAGGATTTTAATCACAGCTGATTGGAATGAAATGGCAATGAAATCAATAAACAACCACAGCTGCTGGAAACAAAATAAAAATAAATAAATAAATAAGAATAGGCCATTCACTGTAAGTAAAGTAAAAGTGTAATTATAGTGTTAATTGTTAAACATAAGATTAGTACGCGGTTGAATATATCATATATCTAAAACCTTTTTTAATTATTAAACCAATTATTAATTGCAGAAAAGTTTGAATTTTAATGAAAAAATATGTTCCCAAACGTTATCTATGGTTCAAATGGTGCCGAATTTCTTACATATAAGGAAGTAAGTCGTACGTATAGTTGAATAGAAATGCAAAATAGGAATCGCCACGATCTACGATGTCTCCAAAGAGCATGTGCTCCTTGACTCCGTATACGACTGCGATTATTGTCAAAGTACAGAGCCGCAACAAAAGCCTCAAGTCGCTAGCCGGCAGCACCTGGAGAAAAGACAAAGAAACGTTGCTGGTCGCTTAGAAAGTAATCGACCGGGAGATCATACACTACGCAGCTGCAATATGGTCACTTAGGTGAAGCAGGAAACAGTTGAAGAGGATGTAGACATCTCAGAACACCGCATTCCGGATTATTACACGATGTCTCTTGATGTCCCCTTTCAAACACTTACATAAATTATGAGACCTGTATGCTTCCGGTTAATAAACACATTGTACTCCTCATCAAGCAGTCTGTTGTTGTTGTTGTAGCGGCAGAATTCTGCCGAGTTGACAGTCCTTGGCCGGAACAAACCCGGGTCCGTTCCGGTTACGTACACCCGACTGTCGTGGGAGCGGTCATCAAGCAGTCTCTTCTACGATGTTTTCGCTGAAATCATGCCTACAGTCGTCTGCTTGAAGCTGAGCCGCAACCTGGGAGCATCAAAAAGACAAGATGCTTGTACAATCTCAAATGTTCCTTCATATATGTGATTAATGCTCTAAACTGTATATTTACAAATAATTTTTGAAGAACTTTCAACGGGATGGCAGACGTTGAAGGCTGAAGTTAGCAAATTAACACTACTTAACCCAATTTTTCGAGGTATCCTGTTGAGATATTTTTTTTCTCAGCCAAAAAGGTTTTAATGCTCTCAGTTTCACGCATATTTTAAATTTGTGTGAATGTTATATGTATGAATATTTTAAGCTATTGTGAAAATATTTTCAGAAACTAATTTTCTTCATATATACATATGTATAATAAAAAGTACGTGAGAAGGAAAAATAGTTCGATATGTGCATAACTAAGAGATGTGCTGTTTTTTAAATAAATAATTAAAATCTGCAATTCATCTGATTTGATAAAGACAAAGTTTTTGTTAATAGAAATTTGCATTTGATTAACTTGTAAATATATATGTTTGGTATATCAGAACCGACTATTGTAGAAAGCAAATACTAATTTGTTGATAGTCTCGTGATGAGATTATTCATTGATGCTTTTTAGTCATTTTGCTACATGTATCTTTTCTTAAAACTTATCTTAAAACCATAACTGTTTATTTTTATATTGAAATTTAAATTTTTTACGATTTTGATATTTTTCACGCTTGTGCTACGCCAATTCTTGGGTGTAAGTTTTGTGCTGTCTCCAATCACAATAATTATTATTCTAAGTAGGCGATAATTATATAATCAGCCTTATTTAGAGAACAATAATCTTTTGAAGTACTTTATTCAAGAATACAAAAGTGTTTACAATATCTATACAATATGTACATATGTACATGCATTTGTAGATAGCATTCAAAATCAATCACTTTTTTACTCATGAGGTAATCACGCGCCAATTAATAAATGTGTAATTATCCGGTGGTGCAAGTACTTTCAAATATACTTACTTATGCGCCAAATAATTATATTAGTTTGATTGCTGTAAAAAAAAATTTATAAAATGATAGATTGGCAATTTTTTATTAAAGGGTTAAACCAGCCTAAAGCCCTCAAAAAGGCTTAACTTTAATTGCCTATTATGGGAGAAAAAATAATTGGATTTTTATCTCTTAGGCTCGATTAAACATGTATTTGATAAAAAAAAAGATATATTGACATTTCGATGGCGGTTACAGGGCCAATCTTCGGATTCATTTTTCTCAGGAGGGCCTGGTAGAGCTATTCTATAAACTGGAGCTGTCTAAAAAAAAATGTGGAAAACGGTTGGCCTCAAGGGCCATCCCTGCAATTTCCCTCTAATTTCATACGCTAACGTTCAAATTTCGCTTTTTTCACTGCTTTTGAGTTCTTCGAAATTTTTCGTTTTCGATATCTAGCAAGTAAATCAACCGATTTCGACCCGGTTTGCGGCAAACGATGTGTTTCTTCAAGGTTTAGAACTGATTAGTTTTTGGTGTCGATCGTTTTTTTTTTGAGATTTCTCGAAATCTACTGGTCCGATTGGGTCCAAACTTACACGAAATTCAAGTGCAATGAAACCCTTTGGAATGCCGTTTAGTTTATTCAAATCGGTTGAGCAGTTTAATAGTTATAAGAGGGTCACATACATCCACACACACACACATACATACAGACATACGGACATCATCGTAGAAATGTTCGGGGAAGCTTCCTCGACCCTCAGAACGTCGAGATCTGTTGAGAACTCGATTTTTGCAAAATGGGGTGAAACCAATATCTTCCCGATTTTTAGAAAATTTTCCATTTTCTTAGCGGGAAGTTAAAAGCATAAATGATAATCCACATACAAATTTTCAGTAAGGTACTGCGTATGTACTTTACGCCAATTTTTTTTCAAATGTCGCTCCTATAAAAGAGATCACTTTTTTTACCCAAAAAATTAGTAAATTGTATAAAAAAAATTGCAATAATAACAGAAAATTCAAATTTTTACAAGATAATATTATTGTGACACTACAGTTAAAATTTCAACTGGATACTTGTGATAGTCCCGAGTACCATCGCGATCTGATTTGAAAAATGTAGTTTCGACAAAAGTACACTTAAAGACGTTTTACGCACTGAGTTTAACTGAATCGAGCACTATAGCATATTGGATCACCATTTTTTTCACCAATTTAATAATATTTTAATTCCATAAAAATGAATGAATGAAATGAGTATGAAACCCACTGTGAGAAAAGTCGTGATAAACAAACTCAATTCACTACGGGCACCTAAACATACATACTATATAATGTATAAAGTATGTGCGTAGAATAGCTTTGCATCTAAACTTAAGATGCTGTTCATACCGTTATTTACTCAGTATGATTACGCTGCCTTCATTTGCTGTAAGCAAAGCGTGCATATAATCACAAAATTTTCCGATATTGTTATGATATAAGATATTCTTCTAAATCACATTCTTAGAGCTATTGCGAATTCTCTTCGTGATTTGTTGCTCTATGCACGTTTGTGGAATATAAATCTTTGCTTTGTTAATTTACTTTATAATATTATATATTGTTTAAAATGCAATAGCTTTGCACAAACTTATATACTTACATATATTTAATTAGCATTCTGATCTACATTCTCACACGAGAATATCAATTGGTATTTTGAAATTTACTCAGAGCAGAAGTTTTTATGCACAATTGACGCCTTCTAAAAATTCTGTATGCGTAAATTAATGAAATGAATTGTGCAATGATTTTATTATAATTAATTTTGAAAAAGGAACTACAAGCATTCATTGCAAATACCTATATGTACATACATATGTGTCTTTCGTTGAGCACGTTCCAAGCTAATTAAACCTAAGTCGCAATCATCATGTTGAGCAATCGTGTGTCCGAAAAAAAACGTCGTATACATGCTCGCTATTTAAAGCGGATTTATAAGGAATTAACGCCATTAATTGATTATGCCGCCCAACGAACATGGACCTGTAAGCTAATCAACGGCTTTCAAAAGATGGATGTATAATCACTTAACATATGTAGCTACTATAAAGCCATGGTTGTTTTATAAAAATATTCATTCTGTCGATAGTCCAAATTGTCCAAACTACGCTGATACGTATTTCAAATCGTGGAACATCTAACTTTCTGCGATAATTAGTTCAACAAAGAGAGAAAATTATTAAAAGGTGTCTTGGAGAACCATTATACCAATGCGACAGGTGGCACAGTGGCTCAAGGCACTTTCGGGATAACAAAAATTGTCTAAAAAATTAAATTCTTGTGGTCTTGAGATGCTGACCGACGACCAAACGAAGCGACTGAGCATCGAGCTCATGACCGCCTCTTGACGATATACCAAATCCGTGAGACCAAAAGGCCAATTCGTCGAATATTTTAGTAGGTTAAAGTCGTACGCTAACATTAGGTTTTTTCAGACGATTATCAAAAGCAAATCCGTAAAGGAGATAGTGGGGATTGATGGGATGGATAAGTTCGATATTATCTGACGTGATTATCTTGTACCCTAAAACTTTTTTTATTAAACCCCAATTTTTGTTAATCTAAGAATGCGTACACTAAAGAGACACCGTTAATAATTTTAAATTATTAAATTTTTATTTTAAATTATTTTATTTGACTTTACTCGTATATTATATAAAGTAATTGTATTTAATTACATAGGTATTTAGATATGTATTTGTATTGCTATGTAATCATATGTGCAAACACGAATGCATTTTGTATGCAAACATATGTATGTCAAGCGTCAAAGAATTCAAAAACCAATAACAGTAATTAAGTATTTATTATATAATTTCATTACATATTTCTTTTCTTGTTTACAAAAAAATTCAAGGAAATTAATATAATCACAGTCCTTTTGTGTTAGATAATGATAGCGAAAAGACTCGAAAAATAAAAATAAATATTTATAGAACATTGAAAAGCAGTGCAAAAGTCGAAGTTCAAAGTTCGAAGTTCGTTTCATAAGAATATTAAGCAAAAAAGATCGTTCGGGCGACACGACTGCCGACGTAAGTTATATATGAGTATAGTGAGAGATTAAGTTAAAGCGAGAACGTGATGGCGCGCATAAAAGAGAGAGTGTGAAAGCATGCATAAGAGAGTGCGGTAAAGAGTAGGTAGAGAAGTAAGCTATATTTCGACTAATTCGTTGTTGTTGTTGTTATATTATTTCTGACTTTTTTTGTTTTTGTTATTTTTGTTATTGTTTTCTCTTTTGTGTATTACAATAATGCCTTCTTTAAAGTTTTTTTTCTTTTTTTACTTAACGGCTTACATATTGGAAATTGCATACACAACTATTTACAAAGGGAGTTATAAAACTTGACTTAAATTAAGAAGAAGATAATCGTAATAATTATTATTAATACAACCTAAACCTTAAATCATTGCTAAATTAAATTACAATATTTTGTAAAAAAAAAAAAATACATTTGTAGTGAAGAAAAAAACCAATAAACTAGGAAAATCCTGCACGCACACACACTGCCATCTGTGTGTATTAAAGTGTGTGTTTGCAATATCGAGAAAGCCTGCCAAATGGTCGGGAGCGCTTTCTTGCTTTTATGTTAAAAATAAGTTAAGCTGCGCAAAAGCTACAATATTTTTGAAAGCATTGCCAATTTGAGTACAATTTTAGAATAGTTTGCCATTTACCGAAATTCGAAAATGTAGAAAATAATTTAACAATTTTTTAACTTTTTTTAATATTTTGAAAATTTTCTAAATCAATGAAATACACTTGCGACCTCTTTCTCACACTTTTATTTGAAATTTCAAGCTGTTCTCTCCACACTTAATTTTCTGTGTACGTGCATGTGGGTGCGAAATAAACTAGATAGTATGCTTAATATGAATTAATGCTAACATTAGGACAAGACACCTTAAACAATTGTTGTTGTTTTTTGTATTTATATATATTTTTTGCTTTGTTGTTGTTTTTTCTTTAATTAATATTTACGCGCTACAACTAAAAACTCAGCTACAATTCGATCGACACTTTCCACTTTACACAAGATCTCTTGTGCGATCTGCCAGCCATATGCATATACTACATACATATGTACATACACAGATACAGTTTTGGATTTTTCTAGCAATCCCATTTTTTTTTCTTTGCTCTTAATTTCATTTCTGTACAATTTCTAGTATCGTAAGTTTAATTAATAAAAAAAAAAATAATAGATATTAAATTAATTTGTTGCTTCCAATTTGCTGTTGCAAAAACACGAAGAGATTCTATCCACGTTTCGCTTGCAGCACCACCAGCGTCAGTATCAGGAAGCCGAAAATCCACGCGAGCGTACTCAGAAAGCCGGAGTACACAGCCATCTCGGTGATCTGCCAGCCGCGCGTCAATATTGAGCGCAGCGATGTGGTAGCGAGTGTTAGCGGCAGGCAAAGCGATATGTATCTGTACAGTTTGAGAGCATAAAAATTACAGTTAGGGATCAAATAAAAATATGACTAACATAAATAACAGTTACAAAGCATATTAGAAACCATTAGGAGCACATAAATTGCACTTATAGAGAGAGAGAGAGAGAGAGAGACTTATTATAGGTAAGGGAAATCTATAAAACTCCAACTCACCGCAGCACAATAGGCATGCCTTCGATGGGCCAAATCACTCCCGATAACAGCAATGTTGGATAGAATGAGCCCAACGCCAATTGTATGGCGTTACGTTCCAACTCACATACCGATGAGATGAGAAAGCCAAAGCACATGCCGCACATACCCTGCAAGAGTGTCAGCACAATGACCCAAATGAGTTCGCCATTATTTGTTACACCAAAGACGACCAACATGAATATAAGTACAAGCGTTGTTTGGCCACACATGACGACGAATTGGGTGATGACATGCGAGAAGAGTATCTCACTGGGTGTGACACCGGCAACCCAAGAACGATCGAGTAAACCCTGGAAAAATTTGGAAAAATTAAAATTAAAGCACCATAGTGGAAGACAAACTATAATTTTTTGCAAAACGTAGAGTTACATATTTGATCTTTTACTTCAGGTCCATTGCTCAGTCAAACCAAAAATGCATTTACAGTACTACTAGTCTAAAAAGATTTGAAGTCAGTCTAACGTCTACTACGATTGTCCGTTAGACACTGCATGCTCTACCCAACCCTGAATCTTTAATGACCCTTTTAGTCGAATGCCAAGACCTATGCGTACCAAATAAATTGATCTTTATAGTACTGTTTGGAATCAAAAGTTGGGGCTGATGGTTGCTATATCAGAAAAAAGAGCCCATTACAAACAAGTTCAGATTTCGTTACCCAATCGGCTAATATATGTAAGTCAACACTTTCACCAAAGTAAAGTAAAATTACTCAAAGATTTCCCAATTAGGTAAAATATAAAAGGTTTCGGGGGGAACCGACATTTTTCTACTCAAATATTTAATAAATATCAAAGAAAGAACTAAGAAGCGTCTGTCCAAATATCTGGACATCGCCCCAGCTTTTGTATAAAAAAGGTCTAAAAATTATGGTGGAATATAAAATTGTTGCCAAGAAATCTGTAGAATTTATTGGGTATATCGTTAGAAAAACTTATATTCAAAATATTTCTTAACTTTTTGTAACATTTTGAAGTTAAATCTCTACTCGAAAACCATTGTACTTGCGTATTACACTCTGAAGTCAGTTACTTTTTATTTAAAGCTGGGAAATATGGCTGCAAGACTTTTGAGTTATGGATATAAAGATAGCGTTGGCCTCGGACCCACATATGCTTCAGATATCATCTTCTTTTTAAGATTTAAGTATATATAGTAATATTACTGAAGTATAAAGATAAAAAAGTGACTAAAAGTTAATCTAGCGCTGGTGCCAATATTTCTAGTTTCTCTTATATTATGAAAGAAAGGTATTTCTTAAGTTCTCCAGCTCACCAGCCTGATTATTATCTATAAATTTAGTTTTTGGTTCATATAGGTTCTGAGGGGCTGAACAAGATAATGAAGTGAGGCAGTAAAAATAAAGCAAATCAACTAAGATTTATTTTTATTCCACCTACGCCATATCTATTTACACTACACGTAAAAAGTATGTACTCACCTCAGTGCGTTCGATGATTAAAGCGGATGACGTCAATGCAACAGCCAAGAAGAACACAATGCTATAAATTTCGAGGACAAACAAATTAAATTAATAAAAATAAACATGACTTTCAATGCATTTAAACAATAAATATTTATGAAAAATTAAACAAAAAATAATAAATGTGTAGATTTCCTTTAAAGTATATACCACCGCCGCTACTTACGTCAATATCACACCGGGCGCAACGAAATCTGTGAATGATGGATTCATTGTGCCATAAATGGGATCTCTAAATTGTATTGGCACATCGCCGAGCTTGGGATTGTTGCCGCATTGATCCAATAAGTTCATGGCGAAAGCACGATAGGCCAGCTGTATGTCACGATTTAGCATAATACCGATTTGCTGATTGGACATATCGAGCCACACTCTTATTTCCGACTGATCAATGGTCTCATCATCCGCGTCACGTCCTACAGAACGCAAAGAGAAGCAGAAACGGAAAAGTAATACAAAATAATTTTAAATTAATAATTATTGAATAAAAATGCATATGCTTTGAACATACCCAATGCAACACGCGCCACAAAAGCGTCCGTAAAGTTCTCCGTTATGTAGACCACACCCCAAGCTTTGCCCACACGCACCGCATCTTTGGCCTCTTCCAAGTCCGTGTAGTATGTCTTTTCCATGGTGTCATTTAGATGGCTCAAATAGCGACAACCGAGATTTGTGAAGTGGCAAGAGTCCTCCCAATGACAGATGCTCTAAAGGTAAAAAAAAAATAAGACATTTATTTAGAATTGTCATTCGATGACTTGCACGTTGATGGAACTTAGACTCACTGTGTTGTTCATTTCACTGTTGACGATTGCCAAGTTCAAGCCAGTGGGATCACGTCCAATTGCCAAACAGAAGAGTATCACTTGCATAACGGGTAAGGCGAATATGAACAGCATAACGCCGACATTACGCCACATACGCAGGAAGTTCTTGGTTAGCAATGCCTTCATTTTGCCCTTAGTTGTGACCTGCCAGTAAAATAATTCGAGGAAAATATTTAAATAAATGAAATATTAACTTTTCGTGTCTGAGACTCGACTTGATCGCTTGATTAGTGCTTACCTTACACAAATTCGCATAGCAATCCTGGCAGCTCTCTTCATCATTGGGTTTGCTGCGTTTTATTTGGGGCGGATCGTAGGGTTCTTGATTTAACTGTGTGTGTAAAAATAGTGGTTGTGGTTTTGGTTTTTTTTGATTTTTTATCAATATTTAGTAAAGAAAGAGATGAGATGATATCAATTGTATGTGCTCTTTAAGAAATAATGCTGCATAAATTAGTTAAGAATATCTAAGGTAGCTATGGGATTCTGACAGATGATATTTCAAGAGCTCCCTTTAAATATTCATTATCAATCTCTATATTTCGAATTTTAAGAGATGAAAACGGACTCCCTATATTTTAAAAAGATTTCAGTGATAGTTACCACGAAACTAAATATGGAAGTCTTCTATGAATACTTCAAAATTATAAAGTGAATCAATCTTTCATTGAACAGTATCATTTTATTTTTTAAATAAAGTTAGTTAAAAATCGTTATTTTTTTATTTTGTTTTCATATCAACATTCTAAAAATAGTCGATAATATCGCAGTTTTATATGAAACAAAAACCATTCATCAAAAAACAACAACGATTACAAGATCCAAATACTAAGAAAATGTGATTGAAAAAATTAAAGATTTGGCAAAAATGTGTTATCGGAAATTACCGATAACTTAAAAGACTTAAATAAAACAGAAAAAAAATTATATTAACGATTACAAGGTAAATAATTCTCCATACATGTGGTTGGAGAAATGACTAGTCTGGAAAAAATCTGTTATTGTAATTTATCTATAACGATTAACGATTATATAAAATAAGCATGGAAGGGCTAAATAACGGTATTACCGAACATGTTATACTCTTGAATTGAACATTTTATAGCCTGCAAGAATCAAAGCCGGGAAAATACCTCAGGTATTGGCATTATTAAAAACCTTATTTCATTTATACGATATTGAGCGCCAAACCATTAATATAATTTTATAACTTAAAAAAAAACGTTTCCACTTAATTTTTATTAAAATATCACACATTTTGACCAACCAAAACGGTTTAAAGTCAGAAATCATTACATAAGCATATTGGTGGCCGAGAAATGAAAGGACTGATTGTAATAATTTTTCCCATGGTTCAGATATACTTGAGAACTAATTTTCAAGCAATTTTAAAAGTATATAAATATAAACATATACATATATGGAGTAAAGTCAGCCGGATGTTTTAATTTTAGGAACAAAGATACATTAAAATAACTCCCACATTGACCGATATATGTGGTATAAAGTCAACCGGAAGTTCGTAAATCTTTATATTAAATATAGGGAGGCTAAGAGAAGTATTGACCCATTTTTAATATATGGGTATGTTATTATCATAGAAACATTTTAGCGGAATTCCAGAAATATATCACTTAGATTGACCTACATTTTCGACTAAAAGTCAGCCATACGCACTGGAGTCGATATATTCGGTATGTGGGGGCTTGAACAGTTATGGCCCGATTTTGACGATTTTTAGATTCGAGATTGCATATTTCAAAGGCACTATTGCAAAGTTTTATCCGGATACGGTTATATGGGAAGTGAGCGTGGTTGTAGTCCAATTCCGCTCATTTTCGCGCTGCAATATACGAATACCATAGTAATGCAACATGCTGAGTTTGTTAAAATCGGTCGAGCAAGTTCCGAGATATGGGTTTTAGCCTAAATGTGGGCGGTGCCACACCCACCGTTCTATTTTCAAAATGATTCCAATAAAGCTCTAATGTATCATCCTGGATGTAAAATTTAATGTCTCTGATGCATTCAATTATTGATTCATCGCGTTTTTAATAGTTTTGAACAAAACCGTTATATGGAGAGAGGGCGGGACTATAAACCCATTTCATTCATTTTCAAACTGTCGGTAGGGGTCTTTCATTTCCCTAAGTGAATTTGGTTGTTATAGATTAAGCGATTTAGGACATATGGACATTAAACTTACTAAAGGACGGGGCCAAGCCCACTTTTTTTAAATTAATAGCCAACAGGTGCCCCTTGTTCCTGCAATCCAATGTACCAAATTACAAATTTATATATTAATTTAGTGCTAATGGTCTGAGTGCGCCAATCTACATTACTAAACTTCTTAAGGTGCCAAGGTGCACCCGGATTTCATCGCCACGTCATCCTGATCATTTATCTATATATATATATACGGCCCTATCTATCTCAATTAATTTTAGGTGATACAAACCACCGTTAGGTGAACAAAACCATTATACTCTGTAGCAACATGTTGCAAGGGTATAAATATGTAAAAACAAATATTATTAATAAATAAATAATTCTATAAATTCTATAAATGGCAATTAGGGCATTTCATTGATATACTAGTAGTTTGAAAAGTAACGAATAAAATTTTTTGGCGAGATATGGAAAAGCTGTGCTAAAACTGGTAGTCATAAAAAATTCTCGATAATAATTAACAATCGTTTGTTCACAATTTCTTCAGACACACTTTTCAAATAATTCTTTTTTAATTATCGGAGTAATTGGTATCGATAACTTATCGATTTAAAGATACATTTAAATTATCGATTAATGTTTCTCAAAATTAAAAAAAATTATGTGATCAATGAATTGATTAACAAAAGTAACTATAATTTATCGATAAAATTATTTGATTTGATTTGGGAAAAAATTCAAAAATTTGCTTGTAAAAACAAATAAAACTTCCAATCATGCCGGTTCAAAGGGTTCTCACTAAAACAGAAGATTATTTTCAAAAATCGATTAAACCTGCTATATTAAAATAAAATCTTCCAATTCAAGTAATGTAATAAATGATAAACTGTGAAATAATTATTTTTCTTGTATAACAAACCGTAAAGACAGATCCATTCGTTTCGTTGATCAGCACTTCTTTGCTCTGATGGAAGTTCAATCCGACAACACCGCCTTCTTGACTCGAGCTGGGCTTATCCATTTTACTGCCGAACGCCATGGCATGTAATGAGATATTATTACTGTTAATCGACAAATCACACGCAATGAGCATAAGTAAATCACAACAACCACAAAATAGAGATAAATCGATTGCATCGTGAACCGCATGAATAAAATGATCGGCACAACGAGTGTTACCAATGCCATTAAACGAGCGATGAGTCACAAAATACGAGCACCCGCATACATACGTACATATACATATGTGTTATGAGTACATATGCAGTTGCATGCATACGGATATGTAGATGGATCAACACAGTGAGGAGCACAACAGCAACAACAACGTGGATGCGCACATCACATATACAGGGTGAGTTGTAAATATGCATTAAATATGTGAAGAATAAGATAAAAACGAAAAACAAAATGTACATATGTATTAATTCATATTCATGCTGTGGAGTACAATGTTCGAATGACAATGATGGTTAGCTACAACAACTACAAACACACGCAAATACATAAATGGCCAAAAAACAATGTCGAACGTGCAAAAAAGTATGTAAATTTGAGGTTTTTAGGGGTTTTTGAGAGCCCCACAATGTGTTGACGCGTCCTCGCATTTCTCTGCGTATGTGTGTGTGTCTGTTGAGTGTTGTAAGTACTTGTTGTAAGACAAGACTATTAGTGGAAAATGTTATGAGTAGTTACTTTTCACCAAAAATGCTAAATTCTGTATAAATTAATTTAAAAAATTAATCAAGCGAGACTCACCTAAAGTTCACATTCGAGATTTCACCCTTCTGACTTTGTATGCGCGACAGTTTCAGAAAGACCTCCTCCAAACTAATACATTTGTACATGGACAGCAAAACGCTTGGCGACTCTTCGGCCAACAGATGACCCGAACGCATGAGACCGATCTGCAAACGATACAAATATATAAATAAATAATATGAACTACAAAGCTCCCTTCTCCAACATATATTAGCGGCACCCATTACTTTCCCCCTCCCTACATAACAGTCATACGCACCGTGTGTGCCTGGCGCGCCTCCTCAATGTAATGTGTTGTGATGATAACTGTTTTTTGGCCAGCCTTTGTGATATGCACCAAATGATTCCAGATACTCTGACGCAACAACGGATCCACACCAACTGTGGGCTCATCTAAAATCAGCAATTCCGGATCGTGCATCAATGCCACTGCGAAGGAGACACGTCGCTGTTGACCACCACTCAAATTCTTTACCAAACGCTTCTCCGAAGGTAAATCGAGAAAATTCAAGAGAAACTGTAGGCGCTCCACGATCTCTTTAGAGTCCATACCGAATATCCAACCGAAATACATCATTGTCTCGCGTATAGAGAATTCGCCATATAAGGCGATCTCTTGTGGCATGTAGCCGACACGTTTGCCGGGCACACCCGAACCGCGAGTGCCTGGTTTGCCACCGAGCACGAAAATTTCGCCCGAATCCAGGCGACGTCGACCGACAATGCACGAAAGTAGTGTGGTCTTGCCACAACCTGAAGCACCCAGCAGGCCGTAGCTAGAAAGAGAGAAAAAGAAAAATAGATTAAAAAGACCGTTACAGAAAGTATTTTTTACATTTAGACTTTATTAAAAAGTTTATACAGTTTAATATTTTAACTCAGGAACTTTAATTTAAAAAATTCCAGTCAATAATCAATCTCGCAAAAGAGATTTGATAGCATAGTTATTTCATATAGATAACTCTCAGACTTCTATCACTGGTACTGAATTCTCTAGTCCTTAATGAAATAAGTGGTCGGTAATTGAAGAGCCTCAAAAATCCTTTTCGAGTTCTTTCATTGCATTATGAGTTCATCTAGCAAAATGTAACTTGGAATCTGTATTTCCTAGAGAGATTTTCGTTTGGTTAGCAATTTAATCTCTAATATTTTCTTACTCTATATCAGATCTTTCAAGCACACATTTTGGTTAATGTTTAGGGTAAGAAGCGTGTCAATGATAGATTTGTAACAAAATACTTGAATCTTTTGCAAAAACGAAGTCGAGTTGAAGTCTCAAAAGAGTTGTTTGACGCCCATTATACGCATCGTTACTGAAGAAGAGACGTGAGTTTATGAACATCACATCACAACTGTCCAACAATATAACGAATGGCGCTCCCAAAATTTGCGTAAGGCACTGAAGGCCTTATAAAGGAAGCTGAAGCTTATAACCAATCCAAATTAAATTTTTGGTATAATGCGTTGTTTTTTTTTTTAATAAATTTTCGAAAAAACCGAGATATGTTTATTATAAACTATCGAATTCGTTTGGTCAAAGTAAAATCCATGATAGTGTCTTTGTTCAACCGTAAATCGAACCATAATTTTTGTATATTTTTAGTGAGAGATTTCTGAAAACATATATCTTCAGATATACTAGAATATTTGTGCTATTCGTAGAATTCTAATGCAACGTTAATTTTTTTTATGAGTCAATTTCAATCACCAAATATTAAGCTTAACTGCTTGGGTTGGTATATTGGGTTGTGAAATCTCAACGGTGCCTTCGTGGCATCAAGTATTTATTTTAAGTTATTGCTGCTTGCAAAACTTATTTGTTGTCAGTATGTGAGAAATACGGTTTTATAATATAAAAAAGGTAAAAACCATTCCGCTAACGGACTGGATACTAATATTATTATTATTTTTTTTTGTTTTTTGGTAACAAGAAAATTACAAGCAATACAAAAATAAAGCAATTTAGGTAAATTTAACTAAGACAATTTTCAAGCAAAATGGAGGCCTACATTTCAGTGCCTGTTTAAGGGTCACTGTTGTTTGTACATACATATGTATGTAAGTATATAAAATGTTAAATGCATATTTTTAGTAATAATTTTTTATGCATTATACCATTTTATTGTCGAAAATTATTATGATTGTTAAAATAAAAACTGTAAAATAAAAAAAAAATTTAAATGTAAGGTAAAGGCCTATAGTTATTTTAATTTGAATTTTTTTGGAAAAATATTACTAAAAAATTAATGAAACTACATATGTATGTGCCTTTATAGAGTATATTCCTGCTTCATGCCATTGCGATTCAAAAAAATTTTGAAAAACGAGGCCCTAACAAGCCGTAAAAATCTTTCTTAAATACATATATATAAACTGAACATAGTGGATACCCACATACAAACGTACAAAACAAAAAACAAAATATCTTTCTGCTAAGATTCACATAGATATAACTTTAACTTGAACATTGACATGCACATGCGCGACTCAATGCTAAACGATACAGTTCAAGTTGAAATTCGGTTCAAGATGACAGGAAAAAAAACCAAAAAACAAAAATAAACAAAAACAAAAAATTAAGAAAATGAAAAATAGAAACGAAAAAAAAACAGCAAAAAATAATAAATGGCCAGCTAAACGGTTCGACCTACCGACCAGCGCAGATAAACCGCATCAATGCATATATATATAATACATACATACATACATATGTACATACAGCAAATATGATTAAAAGCGTTGAAACAGCAAAAAGTACAACCAAATAAGCAACAAAGAACGCGAAGAAAGCAAATTGACACCGTCAAGAGACACCTTGATACATACATACATAAATCAGCAGAAAATGTAAATTTGTATATTTTTCAACCATAACTATATAAGTACCGACCTAGTCAGTTTCGGCAACTTTTTCAGAGATCTCTTTGAACAGTAAAAACAAACCAACAACAACAAATGTCACACATCTGCGGCACTTGAGGGTCTTTTCGGCAACGGCACGTATCTTGCACAGGGTCTATTGTTTATTGCTGTTGTTTTAATTGCAGTTCTACAATTTATTATATATATAATTGCAAGCGATTTTCCCGCTGATAAAAGAGCATTTGAGCGCAAAGCAGCAAAAAGGCGACAATACAAGAAACAAGTGTGCTATTTTAAGATATATAACACATATATGTATACAAGTATATATGTAATTACACGTATGTATCTATTTATATAGATAAATGTAAATATAAATAAAATAGCCGAGTTCTTTAATTAATTTGTTTGGCGAGCAAACTGTTTGAGGTAACGGCAATGACTCACTGCCCACTCTGCGCGCTGCTGCTGTTGCTGGCGTTGGCGTTGGGGTCGAAGCTGACTTTGTTGCTTTTATTTCTTGTTAATTTTATTGTTGCTATTTTTTCACTGCAACTTTGTTGAGGGTCAAGCCGTTCAATGTATGTTTATATGCATGTTTGTGTTGTTGTTTGTGTGTGCGTTTGTGCCGGTCGATTGGTCATTTAGTCGCCCCATAATGCCACCAACAATCGACACCATTTTTTTTGTTTTGTTGCTGCGTTTAGCTTTTGTGACTTAATCACTTAATTCCCAGCTGATGATTTGACTTGATTCGCACACACCAACACACTCATATATATATATATATATATATACATATGTACATTACACACTAGACAAGTGTGTTATCTGCTTTGTGCCGCCTAAATGTTGATGGCAGCAATGCAAAAACAATTGTGTTAATGCTGAAGTGTTAAAATTAAAATAGTGTGACTCAATATTTCTGTAATTTATTTAATTGTTACTTAATAAAAACTTTGCGATTTTTTGTATATTTTTATTTAAATGTTTTATATGTAATTTATTTTTGATTTTTGTTTTTTTAATTTTTATTTTTGTTATTATTTTATTTCGTTTTTGGCGCACTTGCAATATTCATGCCATTAACGCCTTCAATAATGCATGTATGTCAATGTTTCGCATTCTTCATCATTTTCAAACGATTAGAGTGTAAATAACTGTTTTGGTTTTGTTCCAAATGCATAAATATTTTTTGTAGGAAGTTTCTTATTATTGCAAAAGTTGATCGTCAATTTGTTCGGAGATTGTACCGTTGCCTTGGACAATAGTCCATGTCAAATAAATTTTGTGAAGAGATCTTCTCAAAGAAAAAAGTTTTTCGTACAAAGACTTAATCTGAACAATTTTTTCGAAGATTATACCTTGTACAATAATTTCTACTAAGTTTCGTGAAGCTAATTTGCAAAATAGAAAAGTTTTCCATACAAGAACTGCGTTTTGATCGTGCGGTTTGTATGACATACATATACACGCTAAAGTTTTCCAATACCGGCGGTTCTAAGAAATGAGCTGCTTCTTAGAGATAAAAAGACGTGCGCAAAATTGCACAACGATATTTCAAAAACTAACGGACTAGTTCGCGTATATACTGATAGATAGCTAAAGCAGCTCTGCTCGTCACGCTGATCATGTATATATTATATTATGTATATATATTTTATAAGGTCTCGAACGTTTCCTTCTGGGTGTTATTAAAATTTTTATTTTTTATTCTTTATCACTTTTAAGCTCAAATTACTTTTAAGCAATGATTATTTAATGATACTTGTTTCTCACTTCCCAATATTTCGTCACCTCAGCGCAGTTTCACCTTACAAATGCTATAGGCGCTTCCATGCGCTCTGTTCTTTACACTCTTTAGGAAACAATAAGCACCGCGTTCACACTATTAATAGGGAAATATTTAATTATCGGAATGCCATTTAATGAGAGTCGTAAAAATGCACGCGCCGCAAATTGATTGAACAAATCGCCGAGCAAAATGTTCGGAAGCAAAAAACAGCTTTTTTAATTCTTTTCAATTTGTATCGTATGCAAAGCAGCATTCAACGCACATAAATAGTATAAAATAAGTGAGGCGGCAATTATCGGCATTTAAATTTGCATGCAAATCATCTAAGGCGAATCGAAGTGAGGAACTAAAAAAAAATTAGAATTACTAATGCAAATGTTTGCATATAAAATTTTATTTCTTTATGAATATTAGAATTATTTTTGGTGCATTTTAACAAATTTGACGGAGCGCACGCCGACCTTCAGAGAAATTTTTCGGAGTTACAATGGAAACATTTTTCGCTCGCTTGCCCATTTTTCAATAAAAAGTATTTACAACATCTTTTTATGAGCTAATTAACATAACGCACCCATTTTTCGAATCACTTGCGCATAAAACGCTGCTGTGGGCGCTAACTAGTTAAGTGCCCTATGTTTATGCAACTCCAGGGCGGATTGTGGCAACGACATAAATTTATAAATCAACAGCTTCTCTCAGTTGTATGCTTAATTTCTCATCGCAAGCTAAAAAAAACTAACTAAATAAAAATAATTGAACTTACTGCGTGTTATGTTTTGTTATGCGGTGCTATGTTATGTTGTGCAGTGCTAAGTTAAGTTGACATTTCTTGTTTACACATTTCATTTTGATTTGTTAGCTCATTGTGAAAATTTCATGCATTTGTCAACGCTCATCCACATAAATATAAATATGTATGAAAGCGGGTATGTGGGTATACACAAAGGGGTATTTAGGTTATGTCGTTGTTTGCTATGCCACAATTACTTAATATGACGGGTTATTGAGCAGACAAAGCAAACAATTGTCAATAGTGGGCCGAGTTTTCGAAAAATGTTTGAACGCCGTATTGTCAGTACAAATTGAAGAAGGTACTGTTATGTGATTTTAAATCACTTTTTGGTTATATTTAATAGTTAAATGCATGTCGACGAGTGTTTGGCCAAAGCTAGTTGAAACGTGGGTTCAAGAATTTGGTTGTTTAAGCTATTATCTAACAAAAATAATGGGTTATATACTTGTATAGCATTACATTTATATAGTTTTCACTTCCTTTAGAAAAAATTAAATGTTTTTTTGTTCGCAAAGATAATAATTTGACTCACATTGTGCCCTTTGGTACGGTCATCATTAGATTATTCAACACTGGAATGGCATTCTTCTTCTTGCCGTACGTTTTGAAGGCGTGTCGCACCGATACGGCAGCCTGTGAGTTCCGATTCCATTGTGCTGGTGTTCCGCCATCATTATTTGTGGCCATGGCGGGTTCACTGGAACTGCAANTTTATTTAGATAAAGAAGCAGTGTGATCTTATACTTCGAAGATAAGGTAAAGTGAGTTCGTTGCCTAAATCTTTAGTTGCCTGTTCATAGAAAAAACGTTATTGTGATGCAAAATTTTATTTCTTTATAGGGTGCATCAACAAGGAGTGTGAAATTGGATAATGGGCACTTGAGTTTATAGGATTTTTTGACGCGAGTTTATGGGATTTTTTGTTTATAATAAGGGAAAAATACTGAAATAAAATCAAATAAAACTATATAAAATAAAATTAAATACAAAAAAAAATTAATTAAACTGAATAAAAAATTGAATATAAAAAATTAAATTAAACGAAAAAAAATTGAGGTAAATAAAATGAAATAAAACTAATAATTTGTAACAAAGAAAAAAAATGTATATAAAGTTAAAAAAAAAAATATAATAAAATAATAAAATAAAAATATAATGCAATCAAATTTATTAAAAATATGAAACAAAGAAAAAATTGTATAAAAAGCAAAAAAAAAATAACAAATAAAATAAAATAAACAAAAGTTAAATTAAGTTAAATTAAATTAAACAAAATAAAATAATATAAAATAAAAAAATTTAAAATAAAATTAAATTAAATAAACTAAATTAAATTAAATGAATAATAAAAATAAAAACAAAGTAAAAAAACGTAATAATAAAATAAAATAAATTGAATCATATTAAATAAAATAAAATAATTTTTTTTAAATAAAATCTAAATTTAAATAGAATTAAATGAAAAAAATAAACGATTATTAAACTGAATAATAATATTAAAATATAGAAAATAAGACCCAAAATCAAAAATAAAATAATATAAGTAATTCAGGAGAAAAAGTTCGTAAAACACAACAAAACTTATAAAAGAGTAATATAAAGTTATATTTCGTATAATAAAATTTCTTATTACAAAAATTGAAAATAATGACAACTAATTTATTTAGCCACAAGCTACATTCAAAGACCCGAACCAAGCAGATCCTTAAAAAGTACAATCTAGCTATAAAAATGCGAGTCAAAAACTTCATATGATTCAAGTAAACAACACAGGTTTGAATAAGTACACAAACACACGTAAAATATCAAAAATATTTTTTATAATAAATAAATATTTCTGTGCTCCCTTTTCGCACTTAACCTATTAATAGCTTATACAAGTCTTCTTAAAACAATCGTGGCATTTTGCTGCTATTTATTAAATAATTTCGGGATCAAAAAAAATAAAAATTAAGATAGAAAAAATTTCACTTTTTTCTTTTAAAAATTATAAAAAAAAAAATAAAAAATGCAAATACTATTCGACAATCTTTTGGCTTTATTAATAAATACATTCACATTTTGCCTTCTTTTCTTAAATTACTCACTTCGAAAATCATTTCACTTTTCATAAACAGTCGTCTGACGACTATTATGCCACAATTCGTGGCACACTTGCGATGCAAACAAAAACATTAAAACGAATTACTTACAACAGTATATAGAAAATGCACAGCAACCACTACATTGGCAATATAAGTATTATAACTACACGTGCTTATTTTTATTATTTTCTATCAGTTTCTTTACACTATTTGTTGTATATTTCTTAATACACCACAACGGTCTACCAGCGCGCGCTTGCACTTTGCATTTCTATATAAAAGTTACAACCAACAGAGCGACCACTACAGCGCTGAAGACTCGCGCAAGCCACGAAGCACGCGCAAGTAACATTGCAGCTGAGCGGCAATGAGAAAACGAAGAAAAAAGTATGTCAACAATGCAAAAACTGGTGTTGTCGGTCCACCGCGCAGCGGCGCGCCATTTGTCTGCGTCACTTTACATTGCGGCAGACGTTTTCTAATCGCCAACTACTAAAGCTCGTGCATTCACGCGCTCACTAACAGAGTTTTTGTTTTTTGCTTTTGCCTGTCTCTGCAACACTGCGCCGCACTTGTGACCACAACAGGTGGGTGAATATTGTCAACAAGTCGGCCAGCCAAGAGATTTTGGCAAAGTGTCATAGAAGCGCCGACAATCAACAGCCGACAGTTTTTAACCGTTGCGACGTCGCGTGGCGCTCGGTCTGTTGGTCGTGTGGTCGGTTGGCTATTCATTTGAGGCATTTCTTAGACAGACAACATTAAACTCACACTGGGTTAGTGGGTTGCTGCTTCGTGACATATTTATTGCTCTCTACATGTGTTTTATATATTTGTTGTTGCTGATTGCAGCTGCAAAGAAATGCTGTGACGCGTATCGATTGCTCAATAAATATTTTTTTTCATGCTTGTGCAGCGGAGAGAGGAGCAGTGGCTGGTCTATTTGTGCAACACCGCTTCATTTGTGTGTATGTGTGTGTGTGTATGTCTCATACTGGCACACAAGCACGTGTACATTGTTTTAATAGTTTTTGCGAATGCTGCTGCGAAAGCGCACGATAAAAGCCGATGATGAGAGATAAATGCAAAATCAAATATATTTATTTAACGGTAGTGGTAGTAAGTTGCATGCGATTACATAATAATCAAACAAGTTTGAGCATACATATATAAATGTACCTATATGTATGTATATATATATATGAAATTTACAAAACTGTAGATATGTATACAAGCATGGAAATATGATCATTTAAAATCATAAAATAATAATTATTTTATATGTAAGCTTATGTATGTGTGTGTGTGTGGCAGTTACGAGTAAGTGCTGGCTGCATACTACTAAATGTATTTATGTGCTTGCAACATGTAACAGTGCTGATTTTTGTGTAAGCGCTTTGTCTAAATTTTATATATTTGGCTTATTAGCACGTACCGGAATAAGTTAAAGTAGAAGATTAAACACTAATCAAAAAGTTGAAAGGAAAATTATTACCTGCACCAATGCTATAATACCCTTACAGGCGCATTTCTTATAGTATGAAACGGTATACAAAGATTTTTATTTTGATTTTAATCGGTCAGTTTGTATGGCAGCTATATGCAGCTATATGTTAAGATATTTTCTTGCATTTGAGTCAAATCTATTAACTTCATAGTGGGGTCTGTCTTTGCCATTTGTGAGAAAACTTATCCCCAAAAAAAAATATACATTGTTTATGCCATCAGAAAATATAGATTTCAGCAAACATAAAATCTACTGAGTTTTTAAAAAATTTTATACTTTGACGTAAGAACTATTGTTTGAAAACTACGTTTTTTTTCGATAATGACTTAAAATAAGCAGATGAAATAAATAGTTTAACTAAAAAACTAATGCAATATTTAGGACATAAAAAGGTAAGTCTAAGCTCAAGCAAGTCTTTAAAAAAAAATAAAAATAAAAACCCAAAAACTTGGATATTTTAATTTTCCACATAAATTTTGAGGTTAGGGGCAAGAGCTGTTAGTTGTAGTTCTTTTCGTTATCTAAAACTTTATCATATAACTTTTTTCGTAAGGACCCTTTGTTTTGACGGAGATCTTGATAAATCCATTTTAACCCTTAACAATTCAATCATGCCCCTCCCGTTCCCGTTTTTTCTTTCAGTTTTAATATTTAATCTTCATTTACCACTGGATTTCCTCTTACTATGATTTTTTACGCTTTTTACTATTTTCAAAGGCTTCTGCATTGGCATATACGTTTTTGTGCTCAGATTAATGTGGAAATAGACATTTTTATTACTACAACAAAACATGAGTAGCTGGAATTCGAAACAAAAATCATGCTGTTTCAATTCAATATTAATATTCCGGCAATAAATTTATTATATTTTTTTTTGTTAATTCATAAATTTGAAGCTATTTTCATAAGTTGAATTCAAATTTACGAAAGCTTAGAGCTGCAACTCGTTTGGGCACTGGTTCTAGTTTCAACTACACGTAGTCTTAAAAGAATGAAAGAATTTTGTTACTGGTTTTTTTCTTTCTGAAGGCAGTATCCAATCGTGATAAAAAAAGTCTTAGATAAATGCAAGCATTTTAAAAGCATAAGCGATATTTAGCATTTTAAAGAAACTTTATTAAAATAAAAGTGGCCAACATTTTTGAAATAAAAATTAATTTATCGAAGATTTCGAAGAAAGATTAGATCGCTTATAGTAGCATTTTTCATAAAAGCCTCACAGAAAAATATAATACACCATTGAAATAAGAGGATAACGTAGCTGAAATCAACAATTTTTCTTTGGTAGTAAATTATTAAAACACTATAATTTTTAATGATATTTTCAATAAGTTCGATTTGAAAATTCGAAGGCAAATATTTTCACTTTGGAGGCTAACTTCAAAAAACGGAAAAATTACTATTTTGTATATGACTAAATATCTTGAAACAAATTGTTTCGATGCAATATCCATAAAAAAAAAAGTTGATTTTACCAAACAGTGTCATTGAGTATAAGCCAATATTAAATTTGAGCTCGATTCGATTTGAGTAGACTAGCGAAATTAATACAAACTGAATCATATAACTCTATGAAATTTCATATATTCGTATGTATGTATGTATGTATGTACGTATGCGTATTTGTACTTGCATTAATACGCAATCGCAGAAAAGTTTACACAATTAACGAACAAATTATCGATTTAGGTCAAGGTGAAGGTGTATGTCGCTTTTATTATTGCAGAAATTCACTTTCGCTTTTGCAGCAAATCGTCAAAAGTCAACGCACTCAAAATACCACAAAATTTACCATAATTATATTATAATATTAATGTGTTAATTGTATTGATAAAATATCGAAATTTCTTTAAGGAAATGTGTTTTCACTCGAAAATGCAAAGCGTATGGCATTGTTTTTGGATTTTTTTTATATTTTATTAATTTATTTTACTTTTTTCATTTTGCTACCTTTAGTAGCTGTAAAGCGGTCAATAAAGTTTTGTGTCGAAAAAAGAAACTAGTTCAAGGTCAAGTATTTAACGCGTTTTCATTAAAGCAAACACAATAAAAGCGTATACGCACTTAGGTGTGTGAGTGTGTGTCTGATTAAGTCGAGATTTTGTAATGACG